GTCAGGAGGACCTGAGTTCAAATCTGGCCTCAGACCAAACACTTGACACTTACTAGCTATATGATCCTGGGCAAGTCACTTAACCCCAATTGCCTTAAAGAAAAAAAAAAAAGAAACAATGAACAGGCTGACTTCAGAAAAACCTGGAAAGACTTGTATGGTCTGATGCTGCGTGAAGTGAGCAGAACCAGGAGAACATTGTACACAGTAACAGTCACATTGTGCGACAACTGGTATTAATAGACTTAGCCCTTCTCAGCAATACAAGGATCTAAGACATCTCCAAAGGCCTCATGATGGAAAATGCTATCCACATACGAAGAAAGAACTATGGAGTTTGAATGCAGATTGAAGCATACTCTTTGCTATTCTTTTTTTCTTCTGTTGTGTTTTGTTTCCTCTTTCTGGTGGTTCCTCCTATTGATTCTAATTCTTACTTATAACATCACTAATGTGAAAATATGTTTAATAGGAATGTATACATATAGCCATTATCAGATTGCGTGCTGTCATGGGGAGGGAAGGGGAGAAAAAATTTAAGACTCAAAAGCTTATGGAAGCGGTGGTTGTAATTCAAAATAAATTAATTAATTTAAAAAAATAAAAGGTACCATAGTCAATGAAGTAATATCAATACTAAACATATATGTACCAAGTGGTATAGCATCCAGAGTCTTAGAGGAGAAGTTAAGTGAGTTATAAGAAGAAATAGATGGCAAAACTATACTAGTAGAGGACCTCAACTTCTGCCTCCCAGAACCACATAAATCTAACCACAAAATAAACAAGAAGTTAAGGAAGTGAAAAGTGAGATATGGTAGACCTCTGGAGAAAATTGAATGGGGGTAGAAAGAAATATATCTTTTTTCTCATGGTACATGGCACCTACACAAAAACTTACCATGTATTAGGGCATAAAAATCTCACAAGCAAATGCAGAAAGGCAGAAATATTAAGTGCATCCTTTTAGATCATGATGCAATAAAAATTACATGGAAAGATATATTATTTAGTTTCCAATTAGTTTTTTAGTCTAATCCTAAAGAATGAGTGGGTCAAACAACAAATTTTAGAAACAATCATTAATTTCATCCAAGAGAACAACAATAATACCAACACACCAAAACCTATGGGATGCAGCAGTTCTTAGGGGAATTTTTATATCTCTAAATGCTTATATGAATAAAATAGAGAAAGAGGAGATCAGTGAATTGGGCATGCAACTAAAAAAGCTAGAAAAAGAACAAATTTTAAATCCCTAGTTAAATGCCAAATTAGAAATTCTGAAAATCAAAGGAGAGATTAATAAAATTCAAAGTAAGAAAACCACTGAACTAATAAATAAAACTAAAAGCTGGTTTAATGAGGGAAAAAATAGATAAAACCTTTGGTTAATTTGATTAGAAAAAAGAAAGAAAACCAAATTACTGATATCAAAAATGAAGAGTAAATTTGCCACCAATGAAAGGGAAATTAAATGATTAGGAACTAGTTTGCCCAACTGTATGCCAATAAATCTGACAATCTAAGTGAAATGGATGAATATTTATAAAAATGTAAATTATCTAGATTAACAGAAGAGGAAATAAAATGGTTAACCCCATTTTAGAAAGAGGAGTTGAACAAGCTATCAATGAACTCCCTAAGCAAATTTACAAGTGAATTCTACCAAACCTTTAAAGAAACAATTAATTCCAATACTATATAAACTATTTGGGAAAATAGGCAAAGAAGGAGTCCTACCAAATTCCTTTTATAACCACAAATAATCGTGCTGATACTTAAAACTAGGAAGAGCCAAAACAGAGAAAGAAAATTATAGAAAAATGCAAATTAATTACAACTCTGAGGTACCACCTCATACCCATCAGATTGGCTAATATTATAGAAAAGGAAAATGATAAATGTTGGAGAATATGTGGAAAAATTGGAACACTAATGCATTGTTGGTGGAGTTGTAAACTGATCCAGCCATTCTGGAGAGCAGTTTGAAACTATGCCCAAAGGGCAACCAAACTGTGCATACCCTTTGACCCAGCAATATCACTACTATGTTTGTATCCCAAAGAGATCTTTAAAAAGGGAAAAGGCCCCACATGTACAAAAATATTTACAGCAGCTCTTTTTGTGGTGGCAAAGAATTAGAAATTGAGGTAATGCCCATCGATTGGGGAATGGCTGAACAAGTTGTGGTGTATGAATGTAATGGAGTACTATTGTTCTATAAGAAATAATGAACAGGTGGATTTCAGAAAAACCTGGAAACACTTACATGAACTGATGCTGACTGAGTGAAGTGAGCAGAACTCTCTCTAGTGGTTTTTCCCTTTGTTCTGACTCTTTTACAACATGACTGATATGGAAATATGTTTAACATGATTATACATCTATAACCTATATCAGATTGCTTGCTATCTTAGGGAGGGAGAAAAATTTGGAGCTCAAAATCTTACAAAGATGAATGTTGAAAACTATGTTTATGTGTAATTGGAAAAAAATAAAATACCATTAAGTTTTTTTTAAAGTGTGTTGAGTATGTTTGTAAAGATATTACTTGTGTTCTTGAGACATTTAGCAGTGTATTTTCATGATATTTTATTGGTAATATATTGCTAGGTGGACTCAAGCAAACCTAGTATTTGGGAGAAATTTACATAAGCTTTTCAGTGAGAAAAAAATACACTTTTTATATTAGAAAATTTATAGAAATAAATGAGCTAGAATGGTTATGTAGTTTTGTCTCCTAGTGTTTTGCTATAATTTCAACCAATTTCCTCTTTTTAAATTTTGCTTGGAGATGGAGAACAATTAGGTACCATTGTTTGGCACCTTGTTCAAGCCCCCTAACCTCTCACCTGGACTGCTACAATAAATAGCCTTCTGAATGATTTCCTGATACTCCCCAATCCATCTTCTGTACAGCTGCTAAATTAATATTCCTGAAGCTTAGATCTAACCATGTCACTTCACTGCTCAAGAACCATTCCAGCTACTTGTAGGATAAAATACAGACTCGTCTGTTTGACTCCCCAAAGTCCCAATGCAGCCTCATTTTTCCAGACTGTTTTCATTTAATTCTCACACATTCTACTTTCCAGACAAACTGTCCAGCTTGGTCTTCCTGATACATATCATTCTCTTTCCCTCCTTTGGATCCTTACACCATGCCTGGAATGCCTTTCTTCCCCACCTCTGCCTAGCTCCCCACAAGTCTCAGTTCCGATGACATCTCCACAAGAGGCCTTTCATGTTAGCACTCCCCTCTCCTCCAGTTACTTTGTATTTATTTGGCATATGTTTTATATTCAATTCTCTGTGTGTAAATGCTTTTTTCTCCCTGAGCAATTTATATTGTATGAATATAATGGAGTATTAGTGTGCCTAAGAAATAAAAGAGATAGCTTCAGAAAAACGTAGGAAGACTTGTATGAACTCATAATAAGTAAAGTGAGCAAAACCAGGGGAACAATTTATTCAATAACAACAACATTATAAAAACAAACGAACATTGAAAGATATTAGACCTCTAATCAGTGTAGTGCTTGCAAAGGTCTAATGATAAAGCATGCCTCCTATATCCTATCAAATGGGAAGCTGTAAGGTAAAGAATGAGACAGACATTTTCAGATGCAGCCAGTGTGGGAATTTGTTTTTTCTTTAATGTCCATGTTTATTACAAAGGATTTCTTCTTTTTTTCCAGTGTGCAGGATAGGAGGGAGAGGGGTTATACTCTCCTCCTTCCCCAAAAAGGAAAGAAACAAAATAGGGTCACTGAAGTATTTTTAATGCACAGATGAGAACAAAAGGGAGACCAGAAGCAAACACAGATAAACAAGATGACTTTGAAAGCTGGATATTTTATTTATTTTGTACTTGAAAGTGAAAATAAGTTGTGTGTAGCAGAAATCTGCAGTTCTGTGGACAGTCTTTTTCAGTTCTGCTTTGTACATAGAAATGTTCATTTAATTGCTATTTTTCTAAGTCAGAATAAAAAAAAATTAAGGGAAAGCCTACATTGACTTCAGGGATTTTGTCTTGGGAAAAATTTGACCTCATAGCTATTAACCCATTAGATTCCATTGTTTAAATTAGAAGAGTGTGAGTGTGTGTGTATCTGAATCACAGTGTATACCTCTCTTTCAAGAGAGGAAGTTACATTGATAAACAAATTTATTTAGCATTTTCAAGTCAAGAAATGTATTTATTAAGGAGAGATTCAGTTAACAAAAGAATTAGATCTTAATTTCTGGCAAGTTTTATTTTTGTAACTTCCCCTCTTAAAGAATTGCTAATCCTAAAATAGCAAGGGATGAAATACCTGGATTTTAACTTTTCCTAAGGTGAAAAAACTGACCGTTTCCTGTGCCTCTCTTCTCTCTCCAAATTTCTGTTTGCATACCCTAGAACAGGTATTCTTATTATGTCTGTATGTACATGCAAGTGTGTGATCGTATTAATGAACTGTGTCTCAGAAAATAATTTGTCAAACTTCAGGGACCCTGGACATAGGGTGCAAATATATCATTCCTGTTAGCTAAGTGAGTACACATTGGGAACTCTTTATAAGGTTTATTGATATTTCCTATTTCATTATAAAGAAACAGCAGATACTTTAGAACCAATTTGGTCAAGGAGGAATTATATGAATAGCAAAATCCTTAGATGAAGACCCCAACTGTGAACATTCCTAAAAAAAACTATTAATCCTCGTAAAAAGAAGTTAGTGGTTTTTTTGTTTTTTAAGAATTAGAATAATTGCATAATAATGATTCCTTAGTACTTTAATTATGTTTAGATTTGTTCTTTGAAATGTATTTAGTTTACATTCCTTTGGGGGACTTTAAAAATGCTTTTGCTGATGACCTTATCATATGTATATCAACTGGACTTTATGATAGTTTCACAAATGAACCATTCAGACTATCTTGCTTTGTTGTTTTGCTTTTTTTTTTGAAGATTTAATCTAATTGTCTTCCTTCTGTCCCCCCTCTAATTTCAGACTACTCCAAAAGTATGATTTTCCCACCATGAAATTTTCACTCTACTTCTTGGCTTTTGAGGACAAAAATGATATCCCAAAAGATAAAAGTGAAAGAACAGCTTGGACATTTTCCAGGAAAGGTACACTTGAGTTAACACAGTGAGTATGAGTTTTTAGGTCTTATTACAGGAAGTTGTCTTATACTGTTCTTCTTTACTAGGATCCTCTTCATAATATCATGAGGCAAAGTAAAGCCATCCACATGGGCATCTGACAGCGAAGAGCTAATAATTTTCTTTATTTGCTCAACACTGATGTTATCCTTCCAGAAGCAGAGGAATCTAAAAGGGGGAGGTTCAATTCTTTATCTCACTCTTACAAACGGGGAGGAACTGGTTGTTGGGGTTTAGAGGAATGGGAACCTTGCAGAAAAGTGACCCACTCCCAGAGTTTGTGTGGTAGAGGTGAAGAAGAAAGCCCAGCATGCTGTGACAGGCATCCTTGATTTTGAGAGAGCAGAAAAGGGGCACGTGTGGTCCTATGGACTAGAAGTCACTTCAGGAAGGATGAGAACATCTCAAGAGCAAAATCCTGAAGACACAAAGAGACAATTTCAGTTGGGATGGGGAAACAAAATTGAGGGGGTCTGAAGAAACTAGCATGGATACAAAGAGTTAGATCTTTAAGAGAAGGGAATGCATTTTAGGAGGAAAGCAGTAGCTCTAGGACCAAAGGACCTGGGTTTTAATCCTGATTCTGAGGCTTGCTTCTTCAAGACCTTGGGTAAATACTCCCTGGGACTTGGTTTCCTCACCTGTAAAATAAGGAGGAGGGGGCAGGGTTTGAACAGATGGTCTTCAAGAGCCCTTCCAACTCTAAATTTATGATGCTATATATACAGAGGATGGAAACATGGACAGATTAACAGAGGATCACTGCAAAAGGACTCAATATATAAATAGTATCATGAGGGACAAAAATCAGAATCAGCTAAAGCTGCTGAGAAAAAGCAAAGGACATTGAGGGAATGAGGATTAAAGGAGGGAGAAAGCTGCGGTGTGAGTGGAGGGCAAGGCAATAGCCAATAACAGAAGGAAGGTAGACCCGCTCAGATCTGATTTTGTTTGTCTGTTCTCTGCTGAGGAGAGCAAGCTTTGTGCTAAAAAGACCAGACTGAGAAAGGCTAGTAGGGAATGCATACTCAAGATGAATAAGGAGAGAGTAATTACTGAAAGCTTTAAACTGTGCTTGATGAATCCAAGTCTCCTGACCTAGATGAACTAAGTTCCAGGCTCAGACAGTTCTGGTGCAATGGGATGGGACAATGAGCCACTGTTGGAGAGACATGAGAAATTGTGAAGAGCAGTAGGGCCGTAGAGTCCTGGGAAGGGGGCAAATGTCTCACTCTCAAAAAAAAAAAAAAAGAGTGGGCAAGGGACAGGGAGCTTGGCTTTGATACCTGGCCAAATTCTATAATATATTATTAAAGAAGTAAGTGAATATCTCTAAAAGGAAGCAGTGATCACAGAAAGCAAGCTTGGCTCTGTGAAGAACCTTGCTTAAGCAGAATCCTGCCATGACTAAATCCCCTAGAGTAGGGGTCCCCAAACTTCATGCCCAAGCAGTAAAATAATTTTTGAGTGCACACCCACACCCAATATGTGAGTATTTATGAATTCTAGCATGTACCATTACACTAATTATTATATATGCTATAAGACAATATAAATTTTAAAAGGATGAAATAGTATTTGATCCTAAAGTCAGTAGGGAGACATTGGAGTTTATTGGGAGTGATACAGCTGGCCTACATTTTAGGAAAATCACTTTGGCACCTTGTAGAAAATGAATTAGAGAAAGGAGAGACTGAGGCAGGAAGATCAGCATGTGGTGTCCAGTATATTCTGGACCAGTATATTGCATTAAGTCTAGGAAAGAGGTGAGGAGTGATGGGAATAAAGAGAAGTATACAGATGTAAGAGATGTTGTGGAGGGAGAGATGAAAAGATTCAGCATCTATTTGGATGCCTAGCACAAGGAAAGACTTATGTGAACCAATGGAAAGTGAAGTGAATAAGCAGAACGAGGTAAAATTATGCATGGAGTCACAACAGTGTGAATAAAAGAATAAAGCAAAACCAACATTGTGCATAATGACAGTGACCTAGCTTGGCCCTGGCAAAGAGATGAGAAAAGGCACCTCCCTTCCTTCATTGGCTAGGAATGTTGCATATACTTTCTGATACAGTTGATGTATTATTTGCCTTTGTCGAACTATGTTTTTGTTTTTGTTACAAGGGAGGGATAGCTGGGTAGAGATAGCAGATGTATTTGGAAATAAAATATGATGCAAAAACAGAGTGTATGTACTTTAGATTCTCACTCTCTGTGACCAAAAGCATTCTTCATTTTGGGGTAGCTTAGTAAATGAGGCAATTGCTTGATATTATAGTATTTCAAAAAGCTTTCTTTTAAAAAATTTTCACCCTGAAATATTTTTATTTTACTGCCTTTTGCAGCAACTGGGGCACTGAAAATGATGAGAACCAGGCTTACCATAATGGCAATTCAGACCCTCGGGGATTTGGTATGTTTGCTTGTTCATATGTAATATTTATGTTTATGTGGTTATTTTTTAGTATGACTATGTTTTGGGGTGGTGTCATTCTCTTCAATTTATACAAAACTCATTAGGGTAAGTAGGGCATTGTTAATGCGGTTATTTTGGTTCTCCACATACATTGTAATCTTTAGGAGTTATTAAATGTTATTGCTTCTTCCTATACTTTAGATCTGCTTCACTGTGACAGATGCACTTTGGAATTGTCATCGTATTTTCAGCAGATTTTTAAGAGTTGTAATTACCAATATCGTGTCATACTTATACCGACTGAACACTTCTATCTTGAACTAAATCTTCTCATTAAAATCACAGGATTCAGTTATCCTTCTTAAAGCCAATATAATCTTAAACCTACTAAATAAACCTACTAATTCCTTTTGGTAGTAAACTATATGCATGGATTGAGTAAAAAGAAAATACCACAAAGCAGTCAATCACCAGGCATTTAAGTGCCTGCCATGTACCAGGCCCTGTGTTGGATCAATTCTGGGGATTAATATGATGGAGAGTTTTCCTGTTCTCAGGAAGCTTAAATTGTGACAGAACTTAACATCATGTATACGTACACAACACACACTCACACAGAATAAATCCAAAGTAGTTAATACTTGCTAGCCTTTGCTGGCTTTCTTCAAGTCCAGGTAAAATCTCTCTTTTGATCGAAAGCCTTTTCCAACCCCTCTTAATTCTAATGCCTTCCCTCTTTTACTTATTTCCTGTTTTTCCTATCTATAGCTTATTGTCTCTCCCTTTAGATTGTAAGTTCCTTGAGGGCAGGGGCTGTGTTTCTTCTTTTTGTATTCTCAGCTCTTAGCACAGCTCCTGGCACATAGTAGGCACTCAATAAATATTTATTGAATGACTGAGGATGATTAGAAAAGGCTGTACCTATATGGTGGTACTTGAGCTCCACTTTGAAGGAAAGGAAGGATTCTGTGAGGCAGAGGTGAGGAGGAATGTATTCCAGGCATGGGCATTGGTCAGGGCAAAGATTCAGAAAGAGGAGATAAAGCACTGTTTGTGAGGAACAGAAAAGATCAGTTTGGTGGATTTTACAGCACAGGAAGGGAAGGGCAGTGAGCCTGGAAAGATAGGTTGGGACCAGCTGGCAATAGGCTTTTAAAAGCTCTCTTCTCATGGACCCTGTAACCTACTCAGAGTAATGCATAAGTCAAAATAACTATTATTGTCAGCTGGCTAAATACCATTTGTTCTTTTATGAACCAAGTTGATTCAGTCAGTTTTTGAATGCTTTATGTTTTAAATTATGTACCTCTCTCTAACAGTCTTGAGAGGCAGTGTGGTGATAGTGGGAAGAGCATTGAGTTTGAACTTAGGGAACCTGGGTTCCACTTCTGGCCTTGGCACTTGGGGCAGGTCTCTCCATCTCTGCGATTCTGCTCTTTCTTCTCTAAAATGAAGAGGTTGCCTCTTGATAGAAGATGTAGAATAATGCATATAGTTTTGAAAACAGGTAGTGTGGGAGCTAGTCTTGTTTGATTACGCATCTTTGTTGCAAGGGCTTTGTCTTTTTTTTTTTCTTCAAACAAATGAGAATGGAGGTGGAGGATAGGAATATGTAAGCAAAAAGAAAAGGAAGAAAAGATGGTCATTAAGACATCCTTTTTTTTAATGTAACAAAAAAAGAAAGGCAGAAAAAATCAGATATGTAAAATAGCTTTGAAAGTTACAGGTTGAATTTAGTGTATTATTACATTTTAAAAGAAAAGCAAATTCTACATAATAGAAAACTACCATTTTATAATAAAAGCTAGCATTATAAAGCACTTTAAGATTTGCGAAGCATTTTACATATTTCATCTCATTTTCTCATTACAGCAAGTCTGTGAGGTAGATGCTAGTATTAACCTCATTTTTACAGAGAAGGGAACTGAGGTTTATAGGAGTTAAGAGACTTGCCCAAGGTCATATAGCTAGTAAGTATGTTAAGTTAGGATTTGAATTGAGGTCTTCTTGACCCCAAACCCAACACTATCCACTGCACCACCTTGCTGCCAATTTCAAGTACAATTTTTCTGCCCTTTATGTGAAAATGCCCATTTTATTTGGTGCTTATTAATAATACAGAAATTTTTTAAAAATAAAATGAGGGGGTTGAATTTAAATGACTTTTTAGAACTCTTCCAGCTCTAAATCTATGGATCTACTTTGCTTTATTTTTTTTTTCTGGTCCCACAGGCCACATAGGAATTGCTGTTCCTGATGTACAAGGTGCTTGTAAAAGATTTGAGGAATTAGGAGTAAAATTTGTAAAGAAACCTGATGAAGGTAAGTCTTAGTATCAGTCTTCCTCACTTTCCTTCATTTTAAATAATATTTAAATACCCAAAGTCATCCTGTTTCAGGAGTATCTTTATCTACTGTCCATGTCCAAAGCTTGGTTAATATTTCCATGGCCTTGGAAAGGTATTTACTTTAAAATTTGTATTTTGCTATGATTTTTGTTTTAAATTATTAAATTTAATTTGTTTGCTTAGTACCTCACAGAGAGCACCTTGCATATACAGTTCTGGCTTTATGTAAATTCAGATTACACAAATTCGACTTTATGTAAAGATGTTAACATTACTGTAGAGTACTATTCTCATACTCTCAGCTTGGTACTCCATGGCCTTTCTGTCCCCTACCCCCAAAACTCACAAAAACCTTTAAAAAAAAATTTTTTTAAAACCCTCCAAGTGAAAGCGAAAGACCTGATGTAATGGAGAGACCCCCACAGCCAGCAGAGCAAATTAGGGCTTGTTTTGAGACCTCTGGAGTCAATAGAGACCTTTGCCTGCTTCACTCCACTCCCCTCTTCAGTCTGGGCTGGGGTACAGTGTATCTGTCACCAGTCTTCTCCTATCTGTGTCCCTCGCCAGACCCCCACGTGGCTGACCCCAACCCTAATATGTTCCTCCCCCTGCTCTTGCTTCTCTGTCCCCAGACCCCACATGTCCTTGAACCATGTGGGGCCCCTCCCTTCATGGGTACATGTGTGGCCCTCTTCTTGTCTCCTTTCCCATGTCTGTGGGCAAATTTGCATTTTGTAAAAATTGCTTTACATAGAGGTCTGCAGAGCCTGTCCCCTTACATAAAGCAAGAACTGTCTGTAGTAGCTGCTACGTAATAAATGCTTAAGGATTGAATTGGATTAGAATGGAGTCTTAGTAAACAGAGGTATTCTGTGCTGGTGCAGGTAAAACTGTAAAACATTAACTAGTTAGCTAATGAGTCCCTTTTGCCTTTGAAAGGTCAAAGAGGTCAAATTGGAATGCAAATATATCTAGCATTACTGGACAGCGTAAGATTACAAAGAGTTAATACCTAGTGAGTTTGTGGGGAAAAGTGTAGGTAGCCCTGAACCTTAGCCGCACTTGTGAAGACCGCTGGGCCTAGAACTGAAGAGTTCTTGGTTTTAGTCCCAACTGGAAACCATATATCAGGATGTGACATGACAGAAGGAGTCAGAAAACCTTGGCTTGGATCCCAGCTCTGCTATATGACATCATTGGGACCTGGAGCCACTCTCTTCTCTAGACTTGTTTCCACTGCAAGCAGTATAACAAGGTGAGGGTGGATCTCCAAGATTCTTCTAGCCCGGAATTCTAGGTTTCCATGGCCTTGCTCCTCAGATTCCTCATGCTGCCCCCCCCATCCCATTCAGTACAATGCTCTCTAACTGGTTGATATTTAGAGAATTTAAAATAAAAAAATTTCCAACACTCAGCAGTGTGACTGTAGTGGAAAGAGAGGACCTGTTAATCCACATACCCATGTCACTGAGGTGGTCAGTCATTTCACTTGCCTAGATAAATTTCCTCATCTGTAAAATGAGAAGGTTGGATCTGACATCCTATGAGGTCTCTCCAGCTCTGGACACGTGATCTATGATCAGAGCTGCTGCCATTTCATTAACTGTTTTTCGTAGGGTCATTTTCCAGCTATGTGCTTGAGCTCAGACATTCTGAGAAGGATATGCTTTTCAGTTAATAGTATAATTCTGTCCAAAGAGGGATTGGGAATAACATGTTTGAGGCCTTAAATGTTAAATTTTCTTTCTTAATGATTTAGTAGTAAATATTTTACTTTCTCCTCACCCAGGCAAAATGAAAGGACTGGCATTTATTCAAGATCCTGATGGCTACTGGATTGAAATTCTGAATCCTAATCAAATGATAACCCTCACTTAGTTTTGCCAGAACACTACAGTTCTGAGATTTTTTTAGAAGGCATTTTGAAAACAAGGAACGATGTGATTCAAGGTTGCTAGACTAAAGGAAGAATGCAGTATTTACATAGCCCTCTTTCCACTTGAAATTTGTTCTTTAGTTCTATTCATGACCCATTTTTGTCTGTATTTTACATTTACTGTTCATGTTTTAAAGCATTGTGTGTCTTCCCACTACTTGAAATACTATAGTTCCAGCTCTGTCCTTGAATGCAGTCACGCATCTTTGCCTTTTATGTAATAATTAGTACAATTCCTCCTCAGAGGCTGATTTTAAATTAGCCTTTTATGTTTCCTGCACATCACTTCTCTTTGCCTTTTAACCTTTGTTTAACCATCATTTTCAAAAAAGCATTTAATGTGCTTGTGTTGTGATGTCTTCTGAGATTTAAATGCCCTAGAAATAACTTTTCACAATAGAGAGTGAGGGAAGGTGCACACCTTGAAATTTAATGTGAACTTCAGATGAAAAAATTGGAGAATTTACTATAAGATATTCATTGTGTTCAAGCAGATGCCCTGAGATGCAACTTTTAAAAATCCCATCAGGGTGATAAGGATGCTAGTATAAAAGTATTTTTAAAGTCGTTATAGAAGCTTTTTGAGATAAGTGGAAACTTTATTCTGTTTAAGGTATTTTCATGTAGTCAGGACCTCGATGATTAATTTTTTTAAAGCTATACTTTTGAGATCATGCGTCTGAAATTAGAACCTTAAAATACATCACAAGTCTTCTGGATTGAAATGTAACATTAGACAATGTGAAAAAAAATTTTTTAAGCTCATGGTCAGGTTCCTTATGAAGAGCTTCCTTCAGCATCACTAGGCTGGTCTTCAGGCAACAGATAAAATCAGCCAACTGGGCCCATATTTAAAGTCTTTCCCTCTTACCATTGGACCTACCTAAGCTTATGTTCTGCTGGTATAGACTTCTGGAAGCCAGAATTGGTGTGGAGACACCAAAGTAAAGAATTAGAAAGAAAGGCTACTTATGTTACACTGGTTGTAAATCACATTCAGTGATTTCTCAGTACAGAATTTAATTAACACAGGAACTGCTAATTAGCAAACGCCTCTGCTAAATGTACTTCCCTATCAAACTGACATCCATTTGATCTGTTTTTAAAATATGGCTGGTCTTTATATTCATTACGGTCCTATAATACAAAAATCTAATTTCATTTAGCAACAGACATTTTGCAAAATGTAATTGATCCCTGTAGGCCATTCCAGTAATGATTATGCTCATCCCACATGTTCAATCTGTTGCTATATCTTGACATTGCCACCTGTACATTATCTAGTATATATCTGCTTTTCTACATTTGTACACCCACAATCCTCAATTAGGCTCTCATAACCTCTCACCTGGACTATTACAGCTGCTTTGTGGTTAGTCTCACTGGTGCAGTTCTTTCCCTCTTCCGATCTGCCCTCCCTTGAGCTGCCAAGGTGATTTTTTTTTCTAAAATGTTGGTCTGACCATGTCACCACACCTCCCCCACCTACTCAGTGAACTCCAGTGGTACCTTATTACCTCTAGGATAAAACTGACTTTTTAAAACCCTTCAAAGAGGCAGGTAGGTGGTGCAGTGGATCGAGCACTGACCCTGGAGTCAGGAGGGCCTGATTTCAAATCCGGCCTCAGACACATAACACTTACCTCTAGCTGTGTGACCCTGGGCAAGTCACTTAATCCCATTGCCTAGCCAAAAAACAAAACAAAACAAAACAAAAATCAAAAAACCTTCAAAACCTAGCCACTCTATTCACTTCCAGATACCCTGAGGTTCCAGCACCCTGGCAGTTCCTCAGACACAATCCCATTGCCTAGGTCTGTGTCTTTGCAATAGCTTTCCCCCACACCTAGAATGGTCTGCCCCCTTACCTCTGCCTCTTCGTTTCTTTGAACTACTTTAAGACTCAGCTGAAATGTCACTTAGTCCAGGAGGTTTTTCCCATTTCATCCACCTTCTTATACCTTCTCTTCTGAGATTACATCTACTCTCTTTATCTTGGCTCTATTCTAGCTGTTTACTTATCTCTCCCAATAGAATGTAAGCTCCTTGAGGGCAGGGACTGTGATTTTTGCATTTAGAACAGTACCTAACATGTAGTAAGCATTTAATAAATGCTTCTTGACTTGCTAGGGGCACTTTACAATGGCTCTTTGGGCTGAATAGATCTATGTGAGTAAATTTTAAATTAGTACTCTTAAGTTCAATTAAAGTTTAATTTCAAATAAAATTTCATTGACTTTATTAGTATATTTTTTTCTTTTTTTTCAGAGGATGTATGGACACTCTTTCAAAGTACAATTACTTTTGGTGAATACAGTATTTATCAAGCTTTTTATAAAAATGGTTTGACAATAGCATGTGCCCTTAAACTCAAGTTTTTACTCTCAGGAAGCACGTCATTCAGGAAGGTGGATTCACTACACCTATTCTTCAGGATTGTTATGCGGGTCAGATGAGATGACTGTAAAGCACTTAGCATTCTGCCTGACACACAGTAAGCCCTATAGAAATGTTAGCTATTAGACTAGGAGGGCAGTGATTGATCAGCTCTCTAGACCAGGCTGCTTGGGTCACACTGAAAGTTTGTAGTTCCTTGCCTTAGGCACTTCCGAAATACTCAAAGAACACAGCACCTGGAGAAAATAACAGCAAGAGTCAGAGACTACAAAATCAGCATCAAACAAGACCCAGACACAAGTATACACAGTTTGACTCTAATACAAAGTACAAAAGACAATTCAGGAAGTAATGCTAGGAAAAAAAATGAGTAACAAAAAAAGACCCAAAATAAGGAGCTGTTATGGAGCCAGGGATGCTCAAGATGCAAATCCAGAAGGCAATAGCTCCATAGCATCTATAAGCAAAGCATCAGAAGAAAAAAGGCTTAGACAAGCTTAACTAGAATTCTTGGAAGAAATGAAGGAAGTTTAAAAATCAAATTATTAATGTAATGAGGTCTCTTTCAGAAAACTGGAAAATAAATGAGAGTACTAGAGGAAAAAAAGTGGAAGGACATTTAACATTTAGTATAGAAGTTACAAAACCTTACCAAAGTAACAAATTCCCTGAAAATTAGAACAAACCAATCAAGTTGACTCCATGAGACAGCAAAAAATATTAAAACGAGTAATAAAGTAGAAGAAAACATAAGGTGCCTAATATAAAAGCAATTAACCTAGAAAAAACAGTAAGGAGAAAAAAAATCTAAGAGTTACTGGGCTACTTGAAAGCCATAACCAAAAACTAAAGAGCCTGGTTACCCCCTTCTACCCCCTTCTCAAGAAATCATGAATGGCAACTACCCAGATCTATTAGAACTGGATGCCAAAATAAAAATGGAAATAATCTATCACCTTCAAAAACACACTGCAAAATAAAATTCCCCAGAATGCCATAACCAATATCCAGAGCTTTCACATAAAAAAGAAAAAATACTACAAATATACCAAAAGAAAACTTAACTACCAAAGAGTTGCAATCAGGAGATGACAACAAGTTTTGCTAAGTACTACTATAAAAATAAAAAGAACAGAGAACTTATATTTCAAAAGGCAAAAGATACAGGCTTACAACCAACAGTGACCTGCCTATCAAAACTAAATATAATCCTACAGGAAGAGGGTAGGAAGGAAAGGACTTCTAAGTATTGCTGATTAAAAAAAAAATTGAGTAGAAACTTTGAAATGTAAACAGGAATTAAGAGGAACATAAAAGGGGTAAATATGAATGAGTATTCAGAAGAGACTCTACAAGGATAAAATGTTTACATTCTTTTATGAGGAAAGGAAATGTTCTTCCCCTTTCCCCAAATTCTAATATCGGCAGTAATAGGAGTCACTCACAAAAGACCAAGGGCTTGGAAATCATTTTTTGTTTTGATGTAGGTGGTGCAGTGGATAGAGCCAGACTTGAGATCAAGATAACCATACTTCAAATCCTGTCTCAGTTACTTAGCTGTGTGACCATGAGCAAGTGCCTTAACCTTTCTTGGCCTCAGTTTCTTCATCTGTAAAATGAGGATAATTATAGTACCTACCTCACCAGGTTGCTGTAAAGAACAAATGAGACAACATATGTAAAGTGCTTTACAAATTTAAACACTATATAAGAAAAGGGAGAGGAAAAGGAATATGCTAGCAAAGGAAGAGAGGGGAGATTTTTCGTCTGAGTCACATAATCTGGGTACCCAAGTAGAAGACTACAAAAAAGAAGGAAAAGGGTTGGGGCGAAAGACATCATTTGAACCTCACTTTGATCTAAACTGGTCAAAGTAGGTTAGAATTCACCCCGAGTTTGATGTGGAAAGACATTCAATTGGATAAGGAAACCAGAAAGGGTATGTGGAATGAGAGGGAGAGCAGGTTCCAGGAGGGATTAGCCAAATGCAAAACAAATTTTAATCTCAAAAGAAAGATTGTGAAGGGAAGTTTAAAAGGAAAGAAATAAAAGATAATCTCTGGTGGGGAAACGGGAACAGAGGGACAGTGGAGCAGAAATAGATTGCATAAAGTATAAATCATTAGTACTATACACAATCCTCTTATTACTCTCTTCTTTGTGAAAGGGAGAGATGGAAAAACAAGAGAATAGGATAGAAGAAAATGGGCAATTATCACAACTATGTGAATGGGATGGACTCACAAAATGGAAGAGGATAACAGAATGAATTGGAAAGCAAAATCCAACAAAATTTTGTTTTTACAAGAAATGCACTTGAAACAAAGATTCACAGTTAAAATAAAGAATTAGAGCAAGATCTGTTGTGCTTTAGTTGGACTCAAAAAAGCAGGGGTAATAATTATCATCTCAAGCAAAAAAAGACTTGGTTAGAATAGAAAAAAATGGAAAAACTATATTATGCTTAAAGGCCCCATAGAAAGTGAATTACTACCAATACTTAATATATGTATCATATGGCACTTAGTAAATACTTAAAGGAAAAGTTAAATGAGTCATAGGGAGGAATAGTAAAACTATAAAGGGGAAGAACCTCATTGTGTACCTTTTAGACAAATCTAACAAAAAAATATATAGAAAGAAGTTAAGGTCCTGAATAATATTTTAGCAGAGTTACATATGAGAGATCCCTGGTGGTTACTGAAAAGAAATAAAAAGGAGTATACATATGCTTAATTGGAAATCATGCTTTTTAAAAATTAATTTTTTTTTAATTTTCAACATTCACTTCCATAAGCTTTTGAGTTTTAAATTTTTCTCCCCTTCCTTCACCAAGAGAGCACTCAATCTGATATAGGCTTTACATGTACTTTCCTATTAAACATTTTCACATTAGTCATGTTGTAAGGAAGAATTAGAACCAATAGGAGGTACCACAAGAAAGAGGAAACAACAAAACAGAAGAAAAAAAATAGCAAATAGTGTGCTTCGATTTGCATTCAAACTCCATAGTTCTTTCTCTGGATGTGGATATTTTCCATCATGAGACTTTTGGAGATGTTTTACATTCTCCCATTGCTGAGAAGAGCTAAGTCTATCAAAGTTAGTCTTTGCACAACGTGGCTGTTACTATGTACAATGTTCTTCCAGTTCTGCTCACTTCGCTCAGCATCAGTCCATACAATCCTTCCAGGTTTTTCTAAAGTCCACCTGCTCATCATTTCTTATAGCACAATAGTATTCCATTACATTCATATACCACAGCTTGTTCAGCCATTCCCCAACTGATGGACATCCTCTCAATTTCCAATTCTTGGCCACCACAAAAAGAGCTGCTATAAATATTTTTGTACATGTGGGTCCTTTTCCCATTTTTATGATCTGTTTGGGATACAGCCCTAGAAGTGCTCAAAAAGGATATGCACATTTTTATAGCCTTTTGGGCACAGTTCCAAATTGCTCTCCAAAATGGTTGGATCAGTTCACAACTCCACCAACAATGCATTAATGTTCCAATTTTCCCACATCTTCTCCAACATTTATCATTTTCCTAGTTGGTCATGTTGGCCAATCTGATAGGTGTGCTGTGGTACCTCAGAGTTGTTTTGATTTGCGTTTCTCTAATCAATAGTGATTTAAAGCATTTTTTCATATGACTATAAATAGCTTTAATTTCTTCATCTGAAAACTGCCTGTTCATATCCTTCAACCATTTATCAGTTGGGAAATGACTTGTATTCTTATAAATTTGACTTAGTTCTCTATATATTTTAGAGATGAGGCCCTTATCAGAGACACTGGTAGAAATGGCACTTTTGTGAAAGTTGGCTACATATAGTAGAATATAAAAACCTGATGAATGCAGAAATATTAAAAAATACATCTTTTACCAACCACAATGAAATAAAAT